GCCCGGGACTATGGATTGAATGTATAGCGGGGTCAGCTAATGTAGGTCAGGTAATCGAATGTTGAGGTAATCGCAAGTCAAGCGAACCGAATGTTGAGGTAATCACAAGTCAAGCGAACCGAATGTCAAGACATTTGGACGTGAAAATAACCGAATCTTATGACAATTGATTGTCAAGATAATGTCAAAATAACGACACAATTGTAATAGAATGAAACAATGACAAAATAATATTGTAACAATTACACAATAATGAAATAATTAAGAAATAAAGTTGGAATAATGAAACAATGGCAATAGGATGCTGCAGTAATAACACACTAATGGAATAAGCACAAAATAATGTTTAAATAAAGACCAAATAACCGAATAATGACCGAATAATAACCAAATAAGTTTCCAAATAAAGATCAAACAACTAAACAATGTTCAAATAATGACACCAAGCTAATTTTGGCGGTATTCTCACATAAAACCACTCATGTAGTTTAGTCTTAACCACAATTGTTAAAACAACGACTAGGTGAGTAACTATGAAAATATGAATTACTATAATTGCTTTTCATCTGTTTAATATACATTGATTTTCTCAGTGTACCACGCATTCTGCCCTTTGCTCGTGTGAGTGTTCAATTATTATTACACGTTTACAACTCAGTCCACCCAATCTACAATTCCGTTGTCGGCGACTTTGAGTCGTTCATGCCAACTTGTATACGACGTACCATTTGTTGGTTTCACGTGTGCATGTTACAACTAATAATGTTTTTATTACACATGTCGTCCGACAAGCTGTGAACATGGATGAACACAATGATGAGATGCATGGCATGGTGGGATTGAATTATCATCTGACACTAACTCAGTCTCAAAGTGTGTATTGATATTCTTAGTTTTACAGTCAGTCTTCTTATCATAATGAACTCCTCAGACGAATGATTATACACAACCAGATTCGTTGTTCACAACAGCCGGCTACGCATTTGTCGATCCAGCGTGCATGACAAAACTGCAGGGTACCTGCGAAGCTGCCGGTGCCATGGAACTATTGGCCGATGTCGTCTGTTTGCCAACAGTTAGTAACGTGTTTCGTGTCGCTATAGGCACGTGACCGCGTGATCGGGAGTCTGAACTTCGATCAGTATTGTCCGCCATGCTTGGATGAATCCTCCTTGAAATGCTCCATATTCGACACAGAACCGTATTCTTGTAGGCGTTTCGGAAATTCTCATTGAAACATCCGTATATTATAGGGTTGACCCAGCTGTTTGAGAAATTCAGACATATAGCGGCCAGTCCGAACGCACGAATGTTGATCGTTGGGTGGTCCAAGTTCCCATAGAAAGAATAAAAGTACAGACTATAGAATGGTAACCACAATAAAAAGAACACGATAACAACTATCGAAAGCATCTTTATGGCTCGTTTTTTTCTACCACCGGTTGTACTGGTGGGTTGTTTATCGAACCATAGTTTGTAGATCATAGGTACATATAGACAAATAAGAATACACAGAGGAATCAGGAACAAAACTACGAAATCGCATAAACGGAGCGGTTTAAACAGTGGTTCGTATTTTTTGAGGAAAAAACAGAACGGAATCTCGTGTGTTACGTTCCCAACGTGGTATACGTAAATTTGATACTCCCAAGTAATTGGTATATACAACGCGTACGTAATCGCGCAAGTCCACGCTACAGCTACCATTATAACAGCCTGTGTCCGTGTGATTTTCGGCTTCAAAGGCGTGACGATCGCTCTGAAGCGATCGGCCGCGATAGCTATCAAAGTGAAAACGCTAGATCCCGTACTGGTGAGTTGAATCAATCCATCTATGTTGCATATGACTGGGTTTACCATCAAGTACAACGCTTCCGACCACATGATTAATGACGGGATGTAGTAGGAGCCAACAAGAAGATCCGAGAATGCTAGCGACACGATTAGTATATTAGTCGACGACACCCGCAGCTTTGGTTCAAGAATGACAGCGACGATAACCAGTAAGTTGCCGAAGACAATTAAAAAGATGCAGATACCGTACATCGCGTAAATGACGGCATCGGGGACAAATCCCTCATTAATCACTGTATCAATTGAGTCGCTCACGTTTATGGCAGTTGCGTTGAATACCACCATTTTCCTGCAAGACAATGGCCAATATGTGTTTGGTTAGCTGACTACAACGTGCTGGGAGTAAGTATCATTTGAAAGGTGACACACAACCGAACGCGTGACTAAAATTCCATGTAAAAAATATTACCTCAAATGTGTATCACTGTCTGTATATCTTGTGACGATGCCTGCACATAGACGACCTCCAAAAGCAGCTATGATCACAGCAACCTGCAAGATTATGAGCGGCTACATGAATAATATGTTTTGGAGAACGAAAATATAATGATTATTTCGGTAATTGGTGGATGATATAATACCGCCGTCTATGACTGACACGTGAGTGAAACGACAGAAAGACGTTTTCCCCGTTATCTCAGAAAGGCGTCTTAGTTTGAATTCAAAACCCTCAGCTAGTGCCAAAGATTAAGAAATCAGAGATAACTACCGTCTATAGCACGAATGTAGTCAGCGTAATTGCAGACGTATGTATAGATATGATTTTCCAACCGATGTGGCGAGTATAATCACCGTTAGTCCATATACTTATACAATGTGTACGTTCGGAATACTAATTGGATCTTCAGAATCAAATCCAAACGGTCTCCGAATAACGTGATATGTTTTTGTCGTAGTAAATTTGCAGCATCACGCATATAATGACGTTATATGTGGGATGTTAATATACCCACAACTGTTTGAAATCCGAGAATGCCGTGCTTATGGGCATACCATCGTCATGATAAACGTGACTGAATGTATAATCTAATACACAGAAAAACACGCTGTTACGAAATTTCACTGCTGTAAAAACGAAGCTATTTTATATTCAGAGAGAATTATTCATAATAGAATTGAAAACATATTAATTATAACGAGAGTTTACATTTTCCTCTATTGATCATATCGCTACTTATGTGATCAATTAGAAACAAGTGGGTTGTGGCATCGCAGATACTGAACGCTATTGAGTAATTTGCGCTAATTTGTTAATCATTCAGCCGATGTAGTGTTGTATATTTCGTGAGTTAGTTAGCAACTATTCAATTCAATGGTTTCACTGAGTTTTTCAATTTTATAGTTTGACTACACATCACCTTTGAATTTCATTCAAGTATATATTTTGCTAATCCTAATCGGAACATTTTTGTGCACTTAAATAAACCCACTAATGATGCCGACAGTTTTTTCCTAATATCCGACTCGAAGGCCACTATCAAACATTGGATATATTCGGTGTCACAAAAAAATACCCCCTTGTGATTTGTCCCGGAAAAAGCAGATTTACAAACCATTAAAAGTAATTACATTTTAGACGCGTCCCTACGTGAAGATAAATCTAAAACCCTGGTGATTTTTTTCTAATTGTCGTCCACGGTTTCAAAGTGGTGGTTAAACATACCGTGCTCGCAATTGTACGAGAATATTAGCTCATTTATATCATACGTGCGCATGCGCGGTGAATTCGAGATTATGATTCGTCATCGCCACATACACATTGATTGCAACTAACAATGATTCATGGACATTTTGTAAAGCTTTACAAATCTTAGATATTAAACGTTGTACTGTATCTTTAACTCTTACAATGGTAATGTCACTGGCATATTGACTGCGCGGTACATAATAATATATACGAATATATTAAAGGAGGTCGATGTGAATCGAGTTTAATGCACGAATGCTATCCTAGTGCAATCTCAATTCGGACATTTTCACGTGACCTAAACAGGTATTAATAAACTGTGTAACATAAAATAAAATGACATTTTTGATATTATAAATATAATAATAATATATATTAGTGTTAGTACCGATTCGTGATTGTACGGATTTATTACAACTTAATGTATTTAATCAACTAGATGGAATCGAACAGAAAAAAAATAATAATATTTAAGATAATATATCAACGTCTAGTAAAACTAGTTCTCCCAATTCGCGCGAAATCAAATTTTCAAATATTCATCACAATAGTCCTATCACCAAAATAGAGGTTAGGGAGTTGACACTCAGTGCGAGATTACACAAATAGTATACAAAATCAAATCTATTAGTTATCTACTACAATTTGTAATCTATATTTGTAAGCTAAATATAAAAAAAATTTAACGTGTTATAAAAATCAGTGTTGCGCAATATCTGCCACTGAACATGAACAAGCACTTGTTAAACACAACAACCATATTTTGTTTTCAAAATTATAGAGGTACCAAGCTCGGGGAAATACGCCTGGCTAAAAAAAGCCACTCCATCTTTATATGGAGACTTAGAAAAAGCAGTAAAATAACCTGCTGTTTAAATTGCTTGAAGGTCGAGAAATCATTAACTAAAAGATTGGATCGTCTAGCTCATCTGTTAAGTAGAATTTAATAATTTAATCTAATGCGTGACATATGGCATCGATTATAGAATTGCTGATTTATTTCTACCCTAAAGCCGGTTATAATATGAATATTGCTTAGATGTAAACAGATATGTTTTCTTTGCACAGAGAACGAGCACAGTTACTATGATAGTTATGCATTTTTTTGGGATTTAAATAATTATACTGTTTCTATCTTTTTAAGTCATAATATTATACTGCGTACAGAATTTATTTCATGTTTCTTTTTAACGGCATCAGACCTTGAGAAAGATGACACATGAGTGATTATCCGCATTACATTTTTTTGCGAGATCGACGGCCTTAGGGACTAACATATTGAGCTCAAAAGATTAGACGCATCGTAGACTGAACCCAATTGTTTGATTAGATGACAGATGCGATACGTTGATGCTTTTCACTAATATTCGTTCAGTTTAATAATGCATGATCCTATTACTCTGTCAATTTCAATTATCCTATCGCCCAAAACACTGACAGAACTGACAATAAACTAATTTGTAGATAATGACGAATATTCAATTCCTATTTTTAGTCAATGTTAGGTGTTTCTTTACGTAATAACCATGCTTTAGTGAATATGACATACGTCAGATTTGCGAGTACTGATAACCATAGTCGTAATAGAAGACGTCAGCCAGAGTAACTTATTAATACATTTCCGTGGAAGCTGAAGCAATAATTAAACATAGGTCACAAATTAAATTATTTAGAAGGTCATCGGGCATTTATCAGCAATATGCACTTCGGAACAGACATTGTACATTGCTATGACAAAACCATACCTTTCTTGTTTGAAATATCATTTCCCAGGTTGTCGTTGTAACTTAAAGTGTGCCCTAAATAAGATTGTGGCATTTTGCTCCACACTTGTTTTTAGAAATTACGTAAATTTACGGGCATTTCTGTCGAAACAAGGGACATAGCGAGAACTATCCTATATTTATCACCGCGAAATATTATGCGCAACTTAACAGAGAAGTACAATAATAAAGGTACTATGAAGTCGCCGCTCTTATGGTAGACAGCATACCCCTGTTCTCATAGTATTACATCCATGTATTCATAATGACATATAATATGCTGTGCAACACTACGCGCACAAATATACTAAGCTCTGATGTGGAGGTCAACATTACATTATAACGTATATAATACTTGTTTATGCAACTGATAACAATGTTTGATCATTCACTGTACTCTGTCTAGCAACGTATGCGTAAACATGGAGTACTCGATGAAGCTGACTGCTAACTAACGACTATTGGCGTGTAAATAGTACAAACTTTGATTTTGTTATAGACACTCGATCTTATGGTTGCAAGATTTTTGCTAGGGAAAATTCGTTTACGTATATATTATGAGGCTATTACGATGATATCGACCTACGCAACCACATGCTTTCAGAAGTAATATCAGTAAATACTATTATCGCTAGACATCTTTCCGATCAAATTGAGTTGTGTAAAAAGGTCATTCAGAGTATTGAGGTGGGACAAGGCGTCTGTAAAACAGTGGAGAGAGTTATGAAACGTCCGCCATCTTGGTAATATCACTTCGTCTTTGAAATATGCATTCCTTTCTTAGTTAAAGCATGTGGGTCGTCATCTGCGCATGCGTCAATTGGCCAAATGCCATTGTTTACATACAAGCGTCTACCCATGAGCTTTTTTGTTTTTAGCGTGTGTTATTATCATTGCTTGGAACTCAATTCCCGCGCATGCGTAGGTGACGACCCCCGCCGCTTTAAAAGAATAACAAATGGCAATTCAATATATATTTTACTCAAATTCCATTTTTTTAGTATGCCATGTGACTATTCACATTCAAATTGCTGTGAATGAAACATCCTCATTGGAAAATCAAGGACACAGTATATTTAGATGGATCTATGTTCAGAACATGCTTTATAAAAAAAATACGGCAATGTTTGGTAAGAACACCAATAGTTATAGGTGACATCTTGTGAATGTTTAGATACGAGACACGAGTTGAAAATAAAATTCTATATATGATCAAAACAAACTTATAAAAACACTTTCGTTCAACAGAACCGATTTCAATTTAATTTATTGATATTATTATTACTGTTTTTTAAGGGTCACAGACTCGACTAGTTATAGGGAACTATATCTGTGATCCTCACTATAAGTAATTTATGTTAATATAATATCTGACAATATTTATTTAAAATTCTAAATAATACACTTATTTAACTTGTATTTACTCATTTGTTTATTTTTCAATTTTATAAGTGTCAATGTGGTGAAAAATAAGTTTCAAAAAACTTCAACACCAACAAAGCGCCATATTATACGCGACAATGTACACATTATATTTTTGTGGTTATATATCTCAGAATAAAAATGAGTGCACCGCAAAATATGGCGTTCTTTTTCAAATAGTTAAAGACGTAATGTTCACGTGATGAAAAGTAGCGTTAAAAGAAATAAAACGCGAGAAGTCATAAGATATGCGGGATTTACAAATGTATAAAATCAATTTATGTACATTGAAAAATAATAGTCTGATCATGCATACAATGGTTATTAAAACACTGTGACGATAATTTTATATTGGATGAATAATTTGAACAAAAATAATCGGCATCATGTAATAAATGTATTTTTGGATAAAA